GTCTCCCTGACGGATGAATAAAAAAGACAAAGAGACAGTAGGAAAGAAGAGAGAATAAAAAGATCAGTCCAAGAGACTCAACATCTGCCTAATACAATTCCAGGGAGAAGAAACAGAGAATACAAAGGTGAGGTACAGGCAGTTCCAGATTCAAAAGACCTACAGAGTGAGCAGAACGATAAATACAAAAAACAAATCCCGGTAAGGTACATCATTGTGGACTTTAGATGGTGAGACACAGAGAAAGAACCGTCCAAGTGTCCAGAGAAAGAAAAACAAAGCAAAGGCAAGGAACGCAGTCAGACTTCTCAAGCACAATGTGAACTGGAATCCAGCATGGAAATGATTTTCCTCCTAGAATTCTACAGGCAGCTAAAGAATAGAATTAAGACATTTCATAACTAAACATCTCAAAACATGTAACTTGTACGTACTCATTTATGGGAAACTATAAGATAAAGGGCTTTTCCTCTCTGGAGGCTTTCCGTGTCCCCTGATTGGAATTCTCAGCTCCCCAATCCCAGAGTGTGGTGTTCAACAACTTAATGTTTGACTTCATCCTGGAGAAAAACATGTGCCATGTCTGATCACTCTTGTACTCTCCCCAAGGGCTCAGCCTGGTACATACCTAACGGAAAGAACTCAAGAAGCACCTGTTGAATCTTCATCAGCCAGGAATACATTTTAGACTTTCTCTGTCGTTTAAAAAATGTATTCCACAAGCAATAACTGCCCCTTTTTATACTGTAATAGAGTTTAAAATGTTTAAAATGGAAACGTGCACAATTTGAGTGCACTGGTCTTGCTTTAGTAAAGCTTTTTAATACTATCTGTTTGGAGCAGGGGCGACTGCAAGGTTAGTAAATTTTCTCTGTAAAGGGCCAGATAATATATATTTTCAGTTTTGTGGGCCATGTTTCTCTTCTGAGACTCCTCAGCATGGCCACTGTAAAGTGAAAGAGGCCATAGACAACATGGAAATGAACAGGCATCTCTGTGTTCCCGTAAAACTCTACCTATGAAAGCCAGCAGCCACTGGACTTGGTCCGCATGCTGTCATTCGCTGACACCTGGATGAGAGTAATGCTTTATTTATTCCCACCATCTTCACAGGAAAGAAGTTTCTTAATACCTCGACGCAGCATTAATAATTTGGTTTTTCTATTTTTCTCTCTTAAATCTATCCTCTCTCTGGAAGTCGAATCAATACTCAATCAAAAATCGAGATTATGCTCTGAGAGACAAATTCTCTTTTCAGAATATCCCTGCTTTAAGAACTATGGGAAGGTACACTGCCTTTCTCCACTTTAAAGCCTAAGCTTCTTTAGATTGGATGAAAATCACTTGCTCTTTGAAATTGTGGTCTCTGCTTTTCCAATCAAGGGTGGTTTAGGCTGCCTTACAGAGCAAGCCCCATAAGAAGGCTGCCATGGGGAACTGCTGTTTGCTGAGAGTTTGACACATAAGCCCTTCAGACAAGCGTTGTTTGGCTGCTTATGGTAGATTAAGAACAAGATCCTTTGTTTCCAAAAGAAATCAATGTTTGTTCTTAAGTTCAAAGAAAACCAACTGTTCTAAGGACGATATGAGGACACGGACTCCATTCCAGCCGCCAATTATCTGCAAACACAGCAGAAGCAAAACCCACGTCTACCTAGCATGGAGAATTAGTCTTAGGCGATCCCTCAGTCCAGAACTCCCCTGCCCAGCCACTCAAGTCCAGCCTACGAGACTGATTTCTTAAGGAAAAAAAGAGTGTTTGTATCAAAATGGGAGTCCACTTAGGTCACCCCCTCTGAGATGCAGTCACATCAACTACTAGGCTTCTTATTAGCTACTAAGAAATCCAGAAAACAGCACTGGTGGTTTTTTTAAGTGGATATGGCACTCCCTCCAAGCCAATCACTAACCTGTCATTTAAAAAAAAATGAGAAAATAAATGAAAGTACCACCATCAAAGCCTAGAGGCTGGGTAGAATTCCGTGTCTGCCAAGGAGTAAAACTGCGTAACATTTTAAGTAGCATCATAAGCAAAGGATCTAATTGCCTCTGCCAAAAAGCTGGTCTAGCACCAATCAGATGTCAGCCATGCATTTGTCAAGGCAGCCGAAAGCCAGCCATGTCAGAAAATGCTTCCTGGTGGTTGGAAGGGAGGATGTGCATCTAAAATCAACATTTTTGTGGGGCCCAGCTTCTAATCTCCGAGGTCCAGTAGCCTGACAGCTTGAGAGATTCACATGACAGCTATTTCGTTCCCAAGTTCAAATGCAACAGTAGACAGTAAATTGTGCTACAGTCCCCCATCAACCATTCTAAAAGCCAATATTAAGGTTTTTCTTAGAGTTTCACTTCTTGGGTGCTTTTACTTTCTGAAGCCCCTTAAGATTCAGCACCAAGTCTTTGGGAGGACAGAAAGTGACAGGAGGGAGAAGGGAGGAATGAAAGAAGGAAGAGAAGGAAAGGAGAAGAGAACAAAGGAAGAAAAAAGCTAAGAGAACTTCAGTGACCCCACCAGGAGACAGATGGAGAGCAGATGGGAGCTGATCCCAGGTGAATATTATTCCAGGTACCTCTAAACAATGCCAGCATGGGACTCCCTGGAAACAAGGAGGCAGTAACTCAATACAGCAGGAATTCCTCCAGCTGGTAACTACAAGTCCTCCAAAACAGGTGATCACTTAAAATGGGACTTCATAGAGAAAAAAAAACATATTGAGGCAGGAAGCAACTCCAAATGGGTGTTCTGCCTTAAGTCACAGGAATGGCTGGAGCCTGCAAGAACCCTGAGCCTTTTTTTTTTTTTTTTTGAGACGGAGTCTCACTCTGTTGCCAGGCTGGAGTGCAGTGGCATGATCTTGGGTCAACCTCTGACCCACTGGTTCAAGCTGTTCTCCTGCCTCAGCCTCCTGAGTAGCTGGGATTACAGGCATGCGCACCAAGCCCAGCTAATTTGTGTGTGTGTGTTTTTAGTAGAGATGGGTTTCACCATGTTGGCCAGGATGGTCTTGATTTCCTGACCTCGTGATCCACCCGCCTTGGCTTCCCAAAGTGCTGGGATTACAGGCATGAGCCACTGCACCTGGCTGAGCCTTTCTTTTATAAGAACACCTACCACTGGGCTTAGGGCTCACCCTAAATCCAGAATGATCTCATCTCGAGATCTGAACTTAATTGCATGTGCCAAGATCCTTTTCCTTTTCCTTTTTCTTTTTTGGCATGTAAATGAGTGTTCATTCTTTCAAATAAAAATATACATAGCAAAAGGATTATGACAGTCAAACAAGTTACCATATCCATCTCATCACATGGTTTATTTTTTTGTGATGACAGCACCTGAAATCTACTCTCTTAGCAAATTTCCAGTCTACAGGGTCGTAGTATTATCAAACAAGACCCTTTTTTCAAATCAGGTCACACTCACATGTTCCAGGGGCTGGGACTTAAACGTATCTTTTTGGAGGCAACTACTCAACTCACCACAGTTTCCAACAAACTAGAGAAGAAAATTAGTTATTTACTTAAATAAACATGGACTGTAAATGCTTTGTTGTATTTGATCATTGAAAGTCCCAAGACAGCAGGAATTCCTCCAGCTGGTACCTACAGATATTCCTGTCAGAGCTGGTGTCCTTAGACAAGTTACCAAGCCTGCTTGGTGCCCTTGTGTGTGAAACTGAGACAATCCCCCACCTGGTAGGTTGTTGTGCAAGTTGACAGTGATTCATTTAGAGTATCTGCCCCCAGCTAATGTGTGGTTGACAGGCCCTAGTTTTCAATGGCTTTGAGCAACATGTCCAACAGCCACTCTCCAGGAAACAGCGTTCAGTTATTTCTTGATTCAGCCATTAGTAGGATGTGTCTCAGGTATTTAGGGAAAAAAAGAGGCTAAAATAGCAGGCTTGCTAAAGGTAAATAATAATCAGACTTGTAGGAGAATTAAGGACTTGGCATCATGAGAAGAGCCTGTCATATTCAAGATGGTCATTTGTGACCATTACCCAGGAATCATCAACTAAAATACACCATCTCTCACTACCTGGGCACTCCCCAGGACACGAGCTGCATCTTATTTATCCTTGCATCCCCCATGCCTGGCACAGTGCCTGGCACCTGAGTCATGCCATATGAACTGACGGATGGATGATGACGTGAGCCAGAACGCTCAGGAAACTTCAGCTCTGATAATCAATAATCATGTAGATAACTACTGTTTATTGGAAGTCACAATACTAAGTGCTTTACATATACTGCATGGATTAAATAAGATAATTTATGTTACCATTTTGGCAGAGCTGCTGCTCCAGAAATGGGAGGGATCATCACCACTTATTTAATCCTCATTCCAACCCATAAAGGAGTCATTCTTATTCCCATGTTACAGCACGAACTGAGGCACAGGGAGGTGAAGTTCCCCAGCTAATACCTGGCAGAGCCAGGGTTTGTTAGCCTTCAAAGACCTGTGTCCTTTTCAGCTACATTGCACTGCTTCTGATTCACAGTATTAAGTCTTTGTTTTAAGGCATTCACACATCTATAGTCAGACTATAAACTGGAGGTATGGGGAGATGTATCTGTATATGCATGTACATACATATGCATATGTATACATATGTGCTATATATTTGTGTACACACATGCGCAACACCTCAATTGAAGAAATAAACTAGAGAGAACAATGACCTAAAAAATGGAGGGTCCCAGGGAGCATGGAGAATTCCCTTGTCCTGAATCGTACTGTGCAGGGGTAAAGCATCACATGTTACGCTCTGCCAAGCTCATGAAAGCAACACATACAATGTTTTATAAGCTCCAGAGCCTCATCCCAGGCTTATTACTTCCTGTTGAATAATCTTGTTTCTAAGCCAAACACCGTACAGTGAAGAAAAATGAACTGCACTTGACATTCACATACCAGTGCTTTGCTCTGCACCTAAATTCCCAAAGACAGAGAGCAGGAAACATGACTGGGGGCATTAAGAGCATCCCAGCCATGAACTTACAGGAGGAATGGATGCTGGGGAAGCTTTTGCGGCCCTCGGACACCAGATCAGGGTCACCTGTGCAGTGCATTTCCGAGTTCATCACTCCATCTGGAAAGCAGCGGTAAAAGAAATCGGGGCGAGGTCTACAAAAGACACCATGGACATTTTCAATATAAAATGTTGCCATCACAAATGACCCCAAGCTGACCCCCCCAAATCCCCACTGCCCCTAGCTCCTTCCTCAGCCCCCTTGGCCGTCAACACTGGAGCTCCCCACAGAATACTCTAGACACAGCCATTTGAGGAAAAGCTCAGGCTTTGGTGTCAGAAAAATCTGAGTTGGCGCTCCCACGTACCACTTACTCGCTTTATGACCTTGGGAAGGTCACTTGGTCTCCCCCAGTTTCAGTTTCCATGTCTGTAGAAGGGGGAAATCAATACTGACCCAAAGCTGAGGTCCTGAAGATAAAGTGACATGACTTACAGGAGGCACCTAAGCAGTGTCCTCTGGCCCAAGCTCCTTGTTTGACAGGTGTGAAAAGGAAGGCTTCATGCCACCCGTAGACTAAAAGTTACTTCCTGTCTTGATCTACCGCTCTATTGTTGGATATTGGCATGGATTGCTCAAATGCCAATCCATAGGTCTCATCCAGAAGAGAATGATAAATAAGTAATCCTATTTATCTACTGCTCTACTGTTTGATCTATTTCAGAAGCTGCCTTTGGGATCCAAGACTCCGGGCGCCTCATGTCCATATATCCCGAATTTGGGTGGCCACTTGCCCTTCCTGAAATGGCAGGCCTCACCTGGCCTTACTGAGAGATCTTAAATATTCAGCTCCATGATGCAGAAGACACAGTGCCCCAGATTGGCCTCTCTGGTCCAGGACATGGGAAAGAGACCTCTACACAGGGGTGGCCCTGGGCCTGAAGTTGAGCCTCCTGCAGCAATCACAGCTGAAGGAAGTCCTGAGTGCTTACTGGGCTTCAGACGCAGTGCTAAGGTCCACACACCCACTGTGCCATATAATCCTTAGGAGAACCCTGAGGCAGAGCCTGGGGCTGTCTGTATTTCACAGGTGCAAAAATGAAGGCTCTTTATTGCTCAAGGTCACACACATCCAGTAAATGGCAAAGACGAGCTCTGAACACCAGTGCCTGGATCTTTGTGCCAACATACTTCACCGCATGCTTTACTGCCTCACTCAAATGAGGGTCCTTACACAGGTAGGTGATCGCCTATCACCTCACATTCATACTCAACTAATATTCGCTGAGCACCTACCATGGGTGAAGCATAGCTAATGTTAGAAACACAGCGCCTGCTTTCTGAGCACTCCAAGTCACAGTCCTGATCACTGGTCCTTCAGTTCTGCAACTCAGGTAGGGCCTAAGCAGTCTACCAGAACAGCTGGGGTTCTGTCTCTCCAGTACTCAGCCAGCGTTTCTCCAAGTACGGATGTCCACCTAATGCACCAGAACCTCAGAGGGCCGAAGCCTGAGAGTGAGCACTGGTTAGGGCACTGTGGTAGCTCTAAGCACACAAAGTTAAGGGAATACAGCAGCAACAGGCCATGTACTGCCTGATTTTTATCTATTTCCTGCCCCCTCAGTCCCTGGTCTGCATCCAGTAGATAAAATAAATACTAATGTTCTGAGAGGGGATCTAGTGTGTCCCAGGCCAACAGCCAGCTAGAGTTAGTTAGGTCTTGTATTCAGATGTTTTGACTGCTCATGTCTGCAGAGACCAGCTCTTCACCAGAGCAGTCAGAAGAGAAGGAAAGATAAATGGAAAACAGAAATCATTTCTCAGGGGCAGTAAGAGAAATGTGCCATAAGCCCAGGCTCAGATGCCAATCCATATGTCTCATCCTGAAGAGAATGATAGGTAAGAAATCCTACTTATTTATTAGAGACCAAAACTGACAAGTGAGAGGGTGTCAGGGGAGGCCTTGGGCTGGCAGTGGAAGGAACTGGAAACACCAGCAGTGAGCTTTGTCCCCCAAGAAAGTATGGTCAGTGGGCATTTCCTTGCCAGTGATCTCCTGGCTATTTTAGCATTCTAAAATAGTGAGTTTGTAATTCAAAGGAAAGATCTGTGCAAAGGATGGAAAGCTCAGAAGGACGGTTTAAGGGAGAGCTAGATGAGCTCAAATCTGTCCCATCCAGTGTCTGCTGGCCCAGCTTCCTATACAGATGACCTTCATAGTCTAAGTCACCATTTCATTCTTCTTGGAACTTACCTTCCCACTATTAATTTAATAGTGTTTGTGCAGACTCCATTCAAAGCAAGAGCCAAGGACACCGCTACAAAACAAAACCAACAAACAGAAAAATAGCAAGCTGGCTCTCAAATCAAAATCATCATCATCATTATCATCATCATCACTGTTACATTATAATACTATTTAATGACCATAGAAATAGGCATGAATACTTTGAAAACAGAGATACGTTTGGGTTGCTAGAGCAAAATATAATTACGCCAGGACTTTGGAGAGTGACTCATAAAATTCTAGGCCCCTGTGTCATGAAATTTATCTCTCTGCCTTGACTGAAATTTTCACAATCACAGAGGAGCTCATCCATCATTTTCTGGCCTGATATGAACAGATTTAATACCACAGCATGTAGAATTTCTTTTACTGGTAGCAAGAAACATAACTTTTTTTATTTCCTCCTGGCAACCTTCTCAGACATAATTCTAATCAGAGCAGCTGCTGGAATCCTACTGCAGAAAAGGACGTTCCCACTCGGCAATTATCTCATTATTGACCCATCACCAGCCGACAGCTGTCCATTTGTTATCAAACAAATCACTGTTTCTGCGAAGGTGCAGAGTCCAAAAGCCTCACTGGCTTTGGAGAAGGTCTGCCCAGGCGGTGCTTTTTGCCATCTAAAACAGCAAGAACTTCTGGGATACATTATTTGACCATACAGAGCACAGGGACTTTCTCCAAACGGTTTGGGAAGACTTTGCCAGACGCAGCACAGATTGTCCCGAAGGCCGCAGGTAACATGAGTCACAGAGCTTTCACTGCAAAGATCTTGCACCTCTCTCCTGTGGTTTACTGAGAGTGCATAAAAGGCAGAGTCATCACCATCAATGTGATAGAAGGTCAAATGCCTCACAGAAGCAATAAAAACCTATTGATGCCCTATTCCACTGCTTTGTTGAATAATAAAGCATGTGAGCTACCATTTCCCTTTGGCAAATATTAACTGTTCAATACTAGCTGAGATTTATATAAGAATTTAGCAGTGAATGGGGGCATTTTCGGGAAGGAGCTGCCTAGGGCAATTCACGGCCCATCGAGAGAGACAAATATGTTGTTCTATGAGCAGAAAGTATTGTGGAATGGCCAATACCACTAAGAGCACGAGCCACAGAGATGGGAACACAACCCACCTGTTTTTAGTAAGTCATCTGAAGCAGAGAGAATGGGAGGGACACATTCAAATGAACATCTTTGTCAAAGGGAAACAAATCACCTACGTGTGAGATGGGGGCAACTGGCCATATCCGAGTGTGGCAGAAAGGAGGGACAGGCCACAGTCTTGGAGGGCAGAGCGTGAATCAGCAGCACAGCACTGCCATTAAAACACGGAGCATGAAATGGGCGTGCAGAAATTGGAACTGAATATGAGGGAACTTGGAAAGATCCACTGACTGCATTCTGAACACATAGACCCTTCCTTCCTCAAATGCCAGCTCCCCTTCTCTCTGGCAAGCTCAGAGCACTGTGGAGAGGCCTCTCTCCAAGAGGGGAGAAAAAATTCCCTAGAATATCTTTGCCATATTCTCTCCACAAACCCTGATAATTAACAGGTTGTGAGATTGCCGGGAAATTACTGTGGTCTTTTCTCTGTTAGGGCTGGCCTGCCAGGCTCACTGCTGTGTTTTCCCAGTGGGGCTGGACTCATTCTCATCCTGGTCCTAGCATGGCCTCTCTGGGAACAAGCAACCCTGGCCAATTCCCTATCACCCCACGTAGACCTTGGTGAACTTCATACACAGCCACATGGATCACTTCCCCAGCCTCTGAGCCTGGTGGGCTTATCACAGCACAGAGCCGTTCTTTAAAAAGTCTGAAGTAGCTAAGCTGGAAAATGTATGGATGTGTTATAACCACCAACAATTGGCAACTTTCCTGTCTGATCCAAACACCTGAAGGAAACAGAAAGGTAGGAAGCTGGTGATGATATTTAACACAGTTATTTCAGCATTATAGCAGGAACCTAAACTGTTTAATATTTTTATCGGAATAGCACAACCCTCTGGGGATCAATGCAGGAGCCCCTCACTGATACCAGAGAGAAAGCTGTGCTGGGATCAGACCCATGAAAGGCTGGACAAAAAGAAAAATAAATGGCCCCCATCAGGAATGCTTGTTCATTAACAATAACCCAGTGGGTCTGGTTCATAAAGGCTGTTCTGTTTTTACAGCATCCCACAGCACTGTGGGTTTGAGAGAAGAGTCAAAAATACAAACCATACTGTGTCTGATAAAAAATTTCAAAGCAACGTGTCCCGTGAGTTGGCTTGTAAGCAGCCTGTACTTAGGACACTACTGGTTATAAGCATTCCAGGGGATTAGAGGGCTTTTGTTGTTCCTTTCATTGCTGTAGGAAATCAGTACTATTGTGCTTTTATAACAGGGTTCCTAGAGTATACAGACCTGACTGTTTTGCAGCCTGAATTCCTAAAAGCCCAGAGCTGCATGGGGCAAACCTCACTCCTCTCAACCAATGCCAGATGCACAAACATGGCCACTGTTTACCTGGAGATGAGGGCAGCACTTGGGATCCAGGTTTGGAAGCCTGGGTTAAAGTCTGCTGAAGACATCTGAGTAAAGAAGAGCACTGAGAACTAAACCTCCTGGTTGATAAGAGTCCTGAATTCCAGACAACACTGGAAAATCTATACCCACTTTTCTGTCCTTGGCTTTTAAAGATCACCCACCTCCACCCCCTACTTCCAAGGCTTCCTAAAAGTAGCAATTAAAAAAAAAAATCTCTACACACAATGGGAGGCTGTTCATCATTTTTATAGGGCAGGCTGTCATTTATTTAGGCAAACAGAACATCCAATAATTCCACCTTCTCCTGTTAACATATAGCAGACAGAGTATGATGTTCAGTTTTGAAATGTCAACCCAAGGGAGATTTCGCTCAGAATGAAAAGTCTGGAGAAGGCAACTGTGAGCTACTCACTGCTGTGACAGCAGCCCCACTCTAAAAGCTGGCCATCAGTGAGAACCACAACCACGAAAGACAGTTCTTACCCACAGTCACTTATCTTGAGACTCCATGCCAAGGGAGCCACTAGAATAAAGCATGAACTAAAGGGATTTCCAAGTGAACTGAGAGCGCTCCCAACAGTACTTTTTGGAGACTATGGTGACATCCATCCAAACACTGCCTGGCCACTCAAGCCATGTGTGAAGGGACACCTACCTGTGTCCTTGGAGAATGTGACCTTTTCCCACCTCAGCTGAGGAGACTGAAACCTGTGACCAAAAGGCCAAGTCATACAAGGGCAGCCTGTGGTACACACCTGACCAGAGGGAGGGCATCAACAGGTTGACCAGGGACTCACGGCTTTTGTGGCCATGCTGGATAAATGAGCTGACTCTGTCTAGGAAGTACAGAGACTCTGTCTACGAAGTCTGGACCAACAAACACAGTGAAACTTGGTGGGTGGGCATTGAAGTTGAACAGGCAGACAGATTGGGGGCAGAAGCCACCACCACTGCAAGCCCAAGCCTCACATACACCAGAGACATGGGGCAGCAGAAACAAAATTGAGGCAGAGGAATCAGGCTGGGAGTGTCAGGAGAAGAGGGAAGGCATACTGCAGTGGTCATGAGCCAAGAGGGAGGTCTCCCCCTCCTGACGGCCCAGTTCCCCATTCCAGTCCCTGTGAGGTGCCTCTGAACTTTTCCCCCTTTTTCTTGGATGTATCAGAGCCCTGTAATTAAACCCCTAATTTATTTGAGCTAATTTGAGAGGGATTCTGTTCCTTTCATCTAGATAGGGTCTAACAGAAGCCCGGTTATATAGGAAGCATTCTCTGTGCTACGTTAGGGCAGGAGCTGCTTGTTGTCCCACACTCCCCAGATGCAGCTCTCACACTCACTCCCTTACCATGAAAAAGGGAGGACTATGTTTTGCTACATTTTCATTTCCTCAAAGCCCAATAATTAACAAACACACCCTTAAGTGAAGGCTCTCATTTTCCAGACTTACTGTGCCATTGAATGGTAAGTCCATATAACACACCAAAAACAAAATTTAGGCTGAGGATTTGGGTAACTTTTAGGTGACTGTCAAAAAAAGAAAAAATCAACCTGATTTGGTTTTTCTCATGGTCAAAAAGCTGAAAACTTGGCTACAGGTTAGTTTATTTTGTTTGCTAAACAAGCCAAGTAGTTTTGGCTATCTCTTGGTGCTGTCATTTACTCAGGATGTGATTAACATGAAGACCAGAAAAACACATTTAATCCTGAAATGTCAAACTCTTGTCCCCTGCAGACATGGCTTAGCTTGGGAAGAATTTATAACAATGATGTTATAATCAATGACAAAGATCATAACACTCTTCACATAATAGTGAACATTTAACTACCAAAATGTCTTCAAACTTAAGATGAGTTATAGAGTTTGTTTGTAATATCTATTTTATTTTACACCCGCACTTGCCCATGATTGCCTCTAGCCAACAGTGTTTGGTCGAGGAGTCTGTTGTTGATTTCTGAATTGCCCATAATGTGGGTCTATTAGCCAAAAATGTGAGACTGGACAGTCGGAGGTAACAAAGTTTTAGATTTACTTTGCCTACTGCCAAGAGCTGCCCAGAGTGTGCACTTGAGCAGCACAGCTCTCTGGTGTGTAGGGGGTGTTATGAGCATTCAGCACAACGGACAGCGACAGCGGGCGGCCTCTGACCATCCTCCATTTAGGACTGCACACTGGCTCTTATTTGGGCTTACAGTTTATCTTTATTTTATGTTGTTCCTCCCCAGCTTAATTTGACCAAAAGAAAAAATCAGCTGGATGCAACTGAGATTTCTTAAATGCGATCATCTAATTAAGGCCAGCCCCATTCCCTAAAGCAGGAACTGTGAATACTCTACCTAAGAAGGCTTCCTTAATTTCAGTCTTGTCTGTTCGCCGGATAATTTTCACCACACAAATAACAGCCAGGGGTGTGAGGAAAGAAATTGCCTGGAAGAAATAACAAACAATCCCTTATGAGGACATCAGTTTGCTATCAGAAGGGCTGATTGATAATTAGTTCCCGTTAGCTTCATTTAGACTCCCTGGTTGAATAATCTTACTGAACTCCTGACCTCAAACAAAAAAAAAAAGGATGATGTATGTCTGTGCTTAAAAACCACACAGACTTTAAAAATGGAAGATCTGATTGTAGGTTATAATTGATTTGTAATTGCTGAGAGCCATGTTTAAAGCAGTGACTTTTTAAATGGAAAAAAAAACAGTCTATAATTACAATGAATCATGTTTGCCAGTAATTCCCCTCATGCTCTCCTCTGTGGAAGGGTGAAGAACCCTTGGCCTCCCACTCCCATCTCTCTGGAAACATGAGTGCATTTGGGACTCACTTAGAGTCAATCAATTCATTCCTTTTTGGTGTTCTTTTGTTGAATATTTATCTCTTCTGCAAAGCAGAGTTTAGTCTGTTTGCATAAAGACTCTCCTCTTCCCTTCCTCTATCCCCTTTCCTCCACATAGATGCTCAACTCAGACTTAATGAGTTAAACTGGTGGGATTCAGATGCAACCAACACTCATTACAAAACCTACTGTGAAGTGGAAACCATGGTAGTTACCATCAAGTCCAGGAGACTCTTACATCCTTATGATAGCTCTGTGACTGCCTCCTCCAGGCTTGAGGACCAGGTGATGTGCCTGGGAACACACAACTGGAGAGAGGCGAGGCCAGGATTTGGGGACAATGTTTCCCTTCCCATATTGAGTCTTTATTCCAGCTTTCTATAATTAGTAAATTGTTTTTCAACATTCCACCGACCATATAAAAGGTATTTATGTTACTTCCTTATGACTATAATATCTCAGGATAACAACATCAGAAGAGACTGAACATCTTACAAATCCAGAATTGGCCTACCAGTCAGTCGTGGGAGGGCTGGGATGTAACTGTTGACCAATAGTGTTCATAATTCTGGAAATCTCCCTCTCCACTCTAGCAAGCCGTCACTTTTTGGAGAGGTGCTTCCTGATGGGACTAAGGCATGGCTGGAAGATGCTCTTCTTTTTTAAATTTATTTTTTATTTTTTGAGATGGAGTCTCACTCTGTCACCAGGCTGGAGTGCAGTGGTATGATCTCTGCTCACTGCAACCTCCACCTCCCGGGTTCAAGCAATTCTCCTGCCTAAGCCTCCTGAGTAGCTGGGACTACAGGTGTGCACCACCATGCCCAGCTCATTTTTATATTTTTAGCAGAGACGGGATTTCACTATGTTGGCCAGGAGCTCTTCTTTTGTAAAAACAGAATTCACCCAAATGAATGCAGGCTTTTAAAATTATTTGAGATGCTCCACACCCTTACTACAATCAGACAGCTAGAGCTCAAATCATCTTGGGGACTCCCCTTTGGGAACTGTCTTCAGACGTCACTTGTATGAGACATGGAAAAAGCCCTCTCCTTACCTGTCACCATTTATTTCTGACCAGAAGTAGTAGTAACCAGTTTGACGATACAGCTGTGGCCCTGAATGATTTAGACTGTTTAAAAGTCAAATAAGCAAGTCTTGCCACCATGGAGGGTATTCAGGTGCTAAAAGGCAGATGTACGACAGGAGATTCAGAACCGCTACAGAGAAAGCAGAGGATTCCCTTGGGGGCTATTCAGAAGGGCAACACTCATGAGTTAAGAGGTCCAGTAAGTCTGTGAAAGTTGCCATAAGTTATTGGGCAGCTCTCACACCTAAATAACTACATGGCTTGTTAAAGTACTGATTTCCTCAAACATGCTTATATAGCAGGTCTAGAAATGCATATTTTTAACAGTATCTCAAATGGTACTGATGCTGATGATTGAGAATTATGCCTTAGACTTTTGACTCACGCATTTAGTGCTTAAAGAACAAGAACTGAAGCACCACTTACTAAAGTCCAATGTTATGGTCAAGGCCAAAGAAGCCCTTGTTTCTCCAAATCCAAACATGAAGCCCACCAGCTTACCTTTCTGTTTTCTGTCCCTTCAAGCACTGCATACAGACCAGGCAATGTGCTCCCAAATAGGAGAAGGCAACTCACCAAATAGGGGATGGCCCAGTAATGACCACCAGTTCAGTGTTTATATAGGAGAACAACATGGTTCTGAAGGAAATATTTCAAGACAATCCCAGCTGGTATAATCTAAGGTTAGGCAATAATGAAACCCCAGAAAAAAATTTGAGTTGGGATGACTTTCCCAATGAGGTTTCCAAAGGAAATTCCAGAGCAGAAACTCACTGCCCACACAGGAGATGTAGGTGCCAGGTGGGAGGCGCTCAGGATCAAAGTCAAGTGTGCAGGCTGAAGAATTCGTTAGAGCTGCTCAATGACTCCAAGCTAGTGGCCTGATGGTTCAGCGGTCTCCTTTAGAACTGTTGCCTGCCTCAACTTGCCTCTTCCTAATTGGACCCTCACCTCTACTTCCCCCAACAAGGCTGGACTTAATTTAACTCATGCTACAACTTCCCTAGGTAGATGTATTTTGGTGTCTAGAACCACTATCAACTGCTCTTGAGCCAAGGCTAAGCACCCAGGAGGGCCCAAGGCTCCCCACCTCAAGGGCTTCCCAGGCGAGGAAATGCAGCCTTCAAAGTGCCGTGTGGCTGCAGCCAGAGTGGCTTCAGCAGAGGTGTCTGTGTGATTGCAAGACATGGCTTGTTTCCTTCTCTCATCCTAACAGCAGTGGGCCCTGGTGTCTCCTTTCTTCTTCTGGAAACGTATCAGCCATATCCTTGGGTAGCACGGTCCATGAATCAGGATGGATAGAGACATAGTTACATGCATCATTCACCCCCTTGTATACAAACATTTTTTAACTGAAAGTTGGAATTAAGAGGTGACCTTCAGAAGCCAACACATTGGGAAAACAACTTCCTCCTGGGGCAAAACACCTGTGAACTGAGTGAAGGAGGAATGAAGAGAGTAAGCACCCCACCACCTCACTTTCACTCAGCAAAGCAGATTGAATTGAAGCCAGTGCATATGCATTCCACTCTTCGGACAAAGGCCATTGGTAGCTGCGGTTCTGCTGCCTGGGCCAGGGGAGCAGATGACAATGGACAGAGGGACATAAGGTGGGGATGTTCCCTTGTACCTCCACACATGGGCAGAGATGAGGGGAAAACATGAGCAAGCAAAATCTCACTTGGTATTGTTTTATCTTCCGTTAATGTTTCCATGTCTAATTTTAAAAGAATCAAATCCAAGGAAATCCTAGGATGAGCCCAGGGTAGGAAGATGGGGAGTGGTCAGTGCTTATTAAATGAGACCTGAGAGAAAACAAAGAATTCCAGACAAACACTGCTGCAGAATTCAGAGAACATATTGAATCCTTCTTGGACTTGAGTTCTGCTCACTTGTTATGAGTATGGGGCTGCTGAATGTACATACCTAGGTTAGAATGACAAAGGCTAATGTGTACTGAGAACTTACTAAGGACTATGGTCTATTCTAGATACCCCATGCAAATTGACTCATTCAATTCTCAAGCAATCCTAGGTGGAAAAGGCTCCTTACTTAACGCATAGGAAACTAAAGCACAGAGAGGTTCAGCAACCTGCTGGAAGTCACACAACTAATCAAGTGGTAAAATGAGGATTTGCACCCAGGTCACCTAAATTAAGTTCTACACTTTTAGCCACAATGTTACAGCAGTTCCTACCCTAGAAAGTAAACATTAAATAAAATACAGTGCATGCTTTTTTCCAAGTTAAAAAAGAAATGTAAGGCGGCTTGTTTCCAGGTCCAGGTCATAGATAAGTCAAAGAAATTTCAGTGACAGCTGTCACAGCTTAAGCACCTACTATGTGTTAAGGACTTACCTCACACTTTCCAATCTTCTAACTACTCTGTTGTGGAAAATATTATTCCCATTGTACAAATAACCAAACTAAAAATCATAGAGATCAATAAACACACAAATGCACACAGCTAGTGGGAACAAGACTCCCATACTGGGTTGCCATGCTCCTGGGTTGGAGTCTTGAATCTCGGTGATTCCCTTAGCCCAAAAGCTTTATTTTACAGATGGTGAAAATCAGGCTGACAGAGATTATATATTGAACACCACCTTTAAAGTTACTAATTGTACTGCACAGTGCCCACACAAAGAGATAGCATATGTATCATTAAGCAGGATCTGGGATGTGGCTAGTTTTGTATGTAGCTTGTTCCACAGGTTGGGAAGCCAGAGCTCTGTATTAAAAAAAAAAAAAAAAAAAAAACATGTGTGTGGAATGGTCTCAGATTAAGGAGAGGTGGGTTCAAGCCCTAGCTCTGACACTTATCCATTCTTTGTCCTTGAGCAAGTCACTTAACCTCATTAATTCTCAGTTTCCTTATCTATAAAATGGGTATGATGATAATAATATCCATGACAGGTATTATTCACAGAATTTCAATTCACTAACAGTTATGGAATGCTGATTAGGTACCATGCACTAAGTAAAGTGCCATAGGTCTGTCACCCCCATTTGATGCTCTCTACAGCTTGATGAGACATGTTCTTAAAGATGCCTTTCACAGATAAAGAAAGTAAAGTGCTAGGAGGGGAGTTGATCTTCCACATTTGCATAGCTAGTGAGTGGCAAGCTGGGAGTTGACCCGTAGTAGGCCACTATGGAGCCCATACCAACTGCCCACCAACAGGGTCCAACAGAGAGCTACCATCCAGCAAATGCTGGTTGTTGACTAGTATTTCATTATTTTCTGGAAAAGACTGTTAAAAGGGTATCAGGATCTTGTCACCAGACATATAGGATTGAAAGATTTTCAGTTCAAGCCTACCTGCACCCTGAGATCTGAGTAGTGTGCACCTTTGAGTAAAGGAAGGAAGCTAGGGAGAGAAAAGGGAGCCTAATTCTCCCAGGCACCCTGACCATACCCTAAATGACCAACTAGGGTATGGAGCATCCACCCATGAATCAACACAGGAAGGGGCGCCAATCCCTGGCCAGTTCTGCACCCAGAAAGTGGGTCATCCTCATGGGCTGATGCAAGGCACTGTGCACCATGCTGCCTGGGCACTTCCGGGAAACCACAAAATGTGGAGCAGTGTGTTTGAGAGGGGATGGCATGAGGATGCCAAGGACTTCTAACAACCAGAAGAGATCGAAGCCAGTGCAGCCCTGATGTGAGGGTGTTAGCCAGAGAGGAGCTTGTCACTAGGGTTCATTCACGTCAGACAAAACAAAACAGTGGGCCCAAAGTGCCTTCATTTCTGGCTTTTGACAGAAAGGTGTGTTGCAAAGTGATTATAAAGACAACTTTAAGACACTCAGACACTTGGAAAAGGCCCTGCTGTGGGTAAACAATTACATCCCGTCACAGATAAAAGAGCTGTCTAAGACTCTTAAAAAGAGCCTAAAAATTAAAGTGTCTATCATGATCCAGTCTTGTCTCTTTTTCTTCCTCCTTCCTCCCCAAAATGACTTTATTTCTGTCTTCCTTAGAAGCATCCTATCCCAGAATAGAAAACCCTGGTATCAAATCAACACAGTATCTATCAGTAATAGTCTATGAGAATAAATCTGGACCTATCATGATCGAAGCAAAAAGAGAAGAGGGCAAAGAATAGGGCTTGGGTGGATTTCTTTTGGAAGCCAAGGAAAAAAGTTTGCAAAACCTATCATTCCTTAAACTCCTTACTGAGTCTCACCTATTCCTCAAGGCTTTTTAGTGAAGCATTGTCCACCTTGTGTTCATGTCTGTGCCCCTCCCTAGACTTGAAACCATATCTTATTCATCTTTCCTCATGGCAAGTGTTTCATAACCATCCACTGAATTAGGTTGTAATTAACCAATCCAAAGCTATCCTCAGTCTAGCTCTATCCCTGCCCCATTCTTAGCCCTTACGCAGATACTCCAAACAGACTCTATTGACAGGACCCACATGGGCTCACTCTCCATTTCTCTGCCTTTACACGCCTCTCTACCTAACCAATCACCAAAGAGGCATCAAGCAGAGTGCCTCCAAGTGAGAGTTTGCACTCACAGCCGGTGCTCAGATCCTGGTCCAGCCACTGACGGATGTATAATCTTGGACAAGTTGTGTAACTTCCCTAGTTTTGTTTTCTCCACTGACATTATGAGATTAACAAAAGTGCTGACCTCAAAGGATTCTGAAGATTAACTGAGATGTTCTTTATAAAGTTATAAGCACAGCCCCTGAATTCAAGAAATGTTTACTGTTGTAGCTGATGAAGAAGAAAGAAGAAGAAAGAAGAAAGAAGAAAGAAGAAAGAAGAAAGGAGAAGGAGAAGGAGAAGAAGAAGAAGTAGTTCCCTAGAAGTTTACCTGGGCCTCTCCTCTGGCCCTTTTCAGATTCCATTTTGTATTAGAGTACCATCCTAATGTACCAGCGATCCTGGAGGGTCCCTGAAGGTATACCCCAAGTCTCACTGGACTTCTTATCCACTATAGCCCCTATGGTTTTCTTTACCCATAGCAGGCTCCCTGAAAATGTCCCCTGAATGTACAAAGAAACAACTACTACAGATAACAAAACATGTACCAAAAAGCAACAACTAATACCAATGAAGTTGTCCTACACAAAAAGTAGGTTTTTAAAAATGTTCTGATAAACCCCTCACACTCAGCAAGCAACCGTACTCTTTTGAATAAGGAAACAGCCTTCCATAAAGGCCTTGGGCATATCCCTGAAATGCTAAGCAAGACTTCTGAGTGCATCTGAAAAGAATTCTCAGCCAGTCTCTCTGGTCAACAGGAACACTGGGTTGTCAAGGGAAACAAGCTCTTGGATTTAAATAGTTCTAACTACACCCAACTTTCAGGGTGACAGACATCACCTGAGCTAATGGTGCCACAGACAGCGAAAGTGCAAGTTAGGAGGCTTCCAGTGACATTATTGCCATTTACTCTGCACTTAATTCCCTAGCCATTATTCTGTTAATTTTCTTGTTACATTTGCCCAATTGGCTCGTCTAACTCGCACACACATGACTCTAGAAGCATTAATTATCCAATAAAAGAAATCCAAGTCAATACCAGCTGCTTCTAAAAAACACCTTGGTAAGAAAGTTAGAAAGTTCACCTTTTGATTAAAACATTCCAACCAAAATTAAAGGAGACCCCAGGACTTTTTTATGTAGTAAATAAAAAAATTTAAGCTTTCAAAGAAAATCAAGGCATTTTATACATCAGTGAAAATGGATGTTCTATTACCAATTATTCTACCAACGTCTGAAGGTTTTAAAGGACCAAAATAATATAATGCTTTATATTAAATTTTTAAAACCCAGGAGAACAAATCTTTTTTATGGGGTGACAAAATATTTTTCATCTTTGCGTTACAGGTATTATAAATGTATCTATTACTTTCCTTGTGTTATTATGGAATTGTACTAAATCGTGCAACCAAATGAATGAAATTCATCAACTGCTATTAATGAAATAAAAGGTTGAACTTATTTCATTAGGAGAATAGAGGGTATGAATCAGTATGTGTGGCTGAATATCCTTCTGTTCTCTGAGAACCCCAGTGCTGAATAAGCCCTCTACTGACTAATTTCTACCACCACCAGCATGCAAATTGCTCCATCCTATTTGTGTCTGTAGCCAGAATATTTGTGGCATTTGTATCTAGACTTCAAAACAATCCATTGTTCATAAATCTAGGACACAGCCACAGATTTCTCACAACATCCCATATGAACATTCATCTCCAAATTGTGTTTTTACAACACATGAAATGTAAAACGTTATGAAAAATAGGAGTAACTGATAAATAGAAGCTTCTTCCTAGTAAAGCTATTGAGTAAACTCACTACACATACACTGCTTCCTTTATTTCTAGGATTTATAGAAGATGTGAGTTACAGCAGAAATGAAAAAAGCCTGATTTTAATAGCCATGTGTTAGTAATTCCCTACTCACAACAACCCTAATTTGTCAATTTCCCTAAGATTTATAAAAATCCAGTTTACTTTCCAGTAGAAAAGTAATTATTAAGAAGCAATTAAAATAATACTTTAATGCTCACTGGCATTATGGGCATTTCCAAGAGTTTGCAAAAACGCAGATCTTTCCAATCATCACTAATTAACAAAATTTCCTCCACAAAATCAGAGGGATTTCTTTCAAAATACAAAAATGTTCCCTGTGTGTCTATGAAGTTTCTGGAGCAGTTCCCAGAGAGGCACGAGACACCATGGCAGGTCAACAGGAACAACCTTCAAACTGTTGGGAGGCTGCCCATCCAAAAGCGACATTATCGTTCCATAACAAAGAGGAGCTTAAATATTTCCTCTGCTCCAGAAAGGTTGGATGGTGATTCTCCAATTCTCCAGGGCTTCATTAGCATCAGCAAGGAGTCCCAGACACTCTGCCTCCAACTCTCAGGGCAGCCTCTTGGCTGAGAGCTGAGCTCCAAGAGCTGGCTGCTAGAACCTGGTGCTGTGCTCACTAGCTATGTGACATCGGGCAAGTTCCCTCATCTCTCTTGGGATGCACTTTTGCATCTGTGAAATGTGGACAACAATGACATCTTCCTCACTGGGATGCTGGGTGGAATTAAATTAGACCATCATTTCTTAAGCTCTCAGCAAAAAGCCTGGCATATAAGCAGTGAAATGTAAAAGGTTGTGGCAATTGCCATGTGGCATTGGGGGTTGGGGTGGGGTAAAATTTATCTCAATATATTCACCAGCTCTATGGGTGCGTGCCCATTTATTCTAGAAGGAGAGAGACACAAGACACTCTCAAGAGGTTGAAGCACAGGGTGGTCTTATTAGTGGCCAACAACTGACCAGCTAAAACCAGAAAAGAGGTTAACAGAGCTATCTGGGTACCTTCATTTGGGCAGAATCAAGGCTTATCCTAAAAAGAGAGTGGACAGAAAATTCTCCTCACTGGCTTCTAGTCTTCCTTTACTGTAACTCAGCATAGCCCAGACAAGCAAGTCCTTTCTCATTCTACAATATTGGGCAATGACTTGTAGAAAGTAGAAAAGTTCCTCTTCAAAGCTCGTCTTAGTTTTAAAATAAAATAGGCACTAGGAATAATAGCTTCTTACCCTAAAGCCTCCTATCAACTGTTAGTTCTTACACTTTAGCCCAGTTAGTTGCTTTGGCTTGTTCAGGCATGTCTAGACAGGCCGAGGCAAGTCTTAGCTTATAGCTTATGCCCCTTCCTTATTTGGAAATGTTATTGCTTCTTTAAATCCTTCATAAGCAACTTTCTCTTTTCCTTTGTTCTGCCTTGCCTTTACCTATTTAAGAAAGTTTTAAGCTGTTAGCCAATCAGGTATTAGTTTTGACTGTGAGGTCCGGCTCCAGCCAATGGAGACAGGACACAGTAGCAGGGACAAGCTGCAAAAGGGATAAAAATTGCCTCCCTCCTTTGTTCAGGCATGTTCTCATCATTGCTCCATCTGTGATGAGCACCCTTTCTGCAGAAAGTAAACAATGCCTTGCTGAGAGAATTAAATCTATGTTCGTGTGCTATTTCTTTGTGGCACCAGGGAACAAGCATTTCTAACAGTGTCCTTCTCACATGACCAAGCAGCTCCTATCATGACAAGGAACTGGATTTTAATTTGATGAGCTGCTCACCTTCTCTTTCTCTCAGGCCACCCACTGTCTTCAGGGTTAGAAAAACAAAGATGAAAACCCATTTGGTTCATCTTTGAGACAGCAGTCAAATAAGGCATGAAATCATGGTACTTACAAACATGAGGCGGGTAGGTATGTTATCTGATTGCACCAAAGGATTTTTATAGAGCCAGATCTCTTCCGGTTGGATGACTCTCTGGAACGGATCCAAAAACTCTGTAAAACTGAAACGTAAAAAGAAAAGTACATAAAGGTTAAGCGTTCTGTTGCTGCGGGAAGTTCCCAAGGAAGCCCCCCACTATGCACCCTCAGGGGGGAGAATCCAGACTGCTGCAGATGGGGAAAGAGACAGGCCCTGCTGTCAGTTCTCACTGGTTCAAAGGCTTGGGAAGGACTGAAAGAATCACTGAGACTTTACAGACTCTTCCATCACCACCTGCCAGCAAGGACAAATTCCATGCATAAGGGAATACCTTTGTGTGTACAAAGACTCTAAGGACTTGGGGTTCCAAAGTAAACTGGAAACTGAAGTCAGAATGGGGCAAGGCCAGGGCAGCAGCATGGTCTCTTGAAAACAAAATAGGCTTGAGGTGAAACATAAGCAAGAGAGTAACTGGCACAGCTGCCCGTGTGCTGTCTTCATTGCTTGGGCAATGAAAAGCAGTCACGCCAAGAGAAAAACTAAGAAAAGGGCAGAAATGCAGGGGTTTGCTTTTTCAGATCTCAGCCATCAGGCCACCTCCCAGCTCTCCAGCCAATCTTTACCTGAGGAACTAAGTTCAGCACCACTTCAGATGCAGTTGGAGAGGGCAAAAGAAGCCAGGTCATTTGGGGCTTTGAGTGCCAGGCTAGAGGACTTTGATTTTGAGCCAAGGAGAGGTTTGGTAAAAGAGCATGGAATGGGAATTCCAATTCAAAATGGTGGCCCTGGCCATGGTGAGGATGGGACTCGGAAGACAGAATAGAAGGCAAGGTGGGAGGTGCTGAGGTTGTGGCAGCTGTCCCTGCAAGAGAGACTAGCAGACTGGAGAGGAAATGGATGCCATGGAGAACCTGTGGGCAGGAGTGGCTGAAGCTGATTCCTAGGCTTCTGGTTTCGGTTTCTGGGAAAAGGATTCCCATGATCCAAGATGAGGAGTGCAGGGGAGCAGGAGAGGAGGAGAAGCTCAGCTTTCTCCTCCTCTAGGAAACCCTCTAGGGTGGCCAGCAGTCTTGGTTTGTCCATAACTTTTCCAGTTTTAGCACTGAAAGTCCTATATCCCAGGACACCCCTCAGTCTTGAGCAAACCAGGACAGTTGGTCACCTAAAGCCATCCCAGTCTCCAGACAGAATCAGGAGTCCCACAGCCCCGGTTTCTATCCCAGATTTGGGACGTTGTACGAGTATGTTCTGTTTGCAGCTTCAGCTCCCCTGTGAGGGTATGAGGGCAAGAGCCACTCCAGGGCTGTCACCTCAGAGCCCAGTAGCACGGCTGGGCCACTGTAGGCACTCAGAGACCACAGAAGTTAACATCTATTTGGGACTTTGAACAGGTGACACTGAAACTATTCTCACTTTGATCAGCCTGACTCTCAATTCTATTGCGTATCTAAGAAACCTAAAATCCACCCATCTTCTGTGTCTCTCTCCCTGTCTCTCCCTCCCTCCTTCTCTTCCCCCTTCTCTCCCTGCCTCCTCTAACTGTGACGTTTTAAGTCCTAAAAGTCTGTATATTTATGTAATTTCGAAAAGCAGTGGCACCCATGACCGTTCTGCTCAGCACTGGGCCCCCAGCGCCTCTGCCTGGCACACAGGCATCTCTTGGTGGCTATTTGCTAGATGACTGAATGGACTCCTGCAGTGCCATCATCACAGAACCCAGTCAACCCTCCACCAACCCTGAACCTGGAGCTAGATGACTGAATGGACTCCTGCAGTGCCATCATCACAGAACCCAACCAACCCTCCACCAACCCTCAACCTGGAGCACTTCTATTACAGAATCCCTACTGCATCCCCTCACTGGGGTGCAAGTCACTTCTGCTATCAGTCTTCCAAACCTCCTCTAGAGCTGCCTGGAGGAGCACCCTCTCTGGGCATCAGAAACCTGCTCTCTGCCCCAGCTCGCCAGCTGAGCTGCTCCGTGCTGTGGAGCAAGCTGCTTCCTCTCCCAGGGCCTCTGCAATGGGGGAGGCTGAACTAAATCTGAGACTTCAATTTGAGAAGGGTCAGAACCTTCTAGAAAACACCCTACCACAGACCTAAGACTCCACGTGAACAGAGTCTGGTAATGTGGATTTTAAAACACTATGATGGGCCAGGAGTCCCCAGCATTGAACTAAATGACACCTAAGGGTCCCAGAGCCTAGGATCCAAGGACAGGACATCCTGTAATTTAACTCTTCTCATTAACAACTCTTCCACCCACTGCAGGACAGGCTCTAGAGTCAGGTCCAGCAGCGTTCAAACCCCAACTCTGGCACATGGTGAGTCATTTAACATTTTCTGAGCCTCAGTTTCTTCATCTCTGAAAGAGACACACCTTACAGAGTTGGAATGAAAGTTAAACGATGGAATATATATGTAGGGCCTGACAGAAGAGAAACAAAAACTAGAATTGTATTACTATTATCATTTTACTCTAGCCTAAAGCCGCATGTTTTTATTAGACGGTTTTCGGGCTTTGTTTGATTTTGTGACAACCGACTCCCTGCTCCCAAGTGTTTTTAAGACATAATGAAATGAAGTGAAATGAAATAAATTTTGCTTGAAGGATGTCTTTAAGAATGTGTAGTGTATCTCTGATAACCAAAGCTTCAGAATACTCCAGTTTCTGTAGCTACATAACAAATTACTTCAAAACATTTTATTTTGCTCATGAATTTGTGGATCAGGAAATTGAGAGGGGCTCATCCTCTAGGTAGTTCCCACTTAGCATCTCTCATGTGGGCACAGTCAACGGCTGTCCACTGAGCAGGCTGTTAGCTGGAACCCCTGCTGTTGTTTTTCGTATAACAGGACACAGTCTCTCCCCTCTTACCTCAACTTCCTATTCTAGGGGTGGGGGGAATCAGTGACACTGGAGATGACTAGTTGCTGTATTATGGATTTGAGTTTCATTTGGCTATAAAACAATCTTGTTGGGAGAAGTGGGGGGAGAGAACCTCTTCCCACACACACATTGAGACAGATCCCAACTGGTCAGTGATCTTGTTTGTAAGAAAGAGATTCTGTTGGTTGAGTGCCTAAAGAGAAAGGTGATTGGCCTTCGGATCATACCAACTTAGCTAGCGTTGCTAACCAACTGTTGCAAGCTCTGAAAATAAAGGATCTTGAACCCCACCCCTCCACCCCTAGAAAAACCCTTCCTCTCCAGCACTGTGGTCTCAAGGTGGTCAGAATTATTCATAGCTACTGGCTTCCCCTACAGCAGGTATCCCAGGAGAACAAGGCAGAAGCTCAATGGCTTTTTCCAACCTAGTCTCAGAAGTTGTGTCATGTCATCTCCAGTCAAAAGTGAATCCTAAGGTCAGTCTGGATTCCAGGGAGGGGAAATGACTCCACCTATTGACTGGGGTGTGGCAAGTTCTTACTATAGAAAAGCAGATGAATGAGGGATATGGCTGCAGCCACCTCTGAAATATACTCTGCCACCCACAGGGTGCTACTGACACTGTGATGGCCACACATTCCCACTCTGTGAGACCCCAGAACCTTGACTCCTATTTCTTCTCACACAGCCGGCCACATGGCAATGGGACCAGGTACACCACAGAGCACCTTCCTTCCTTGTCTTGTTTGTCTTTCAGGTTTTATTATCCTCCTGGCAATTTTTCTAAAGCCTGGTGCACCCAGCATTTTGCACAATCCCTCACTCCACCCTGAGTAGCTGCAGCCAGAACCCATCTATCAAGCAAATTATATCCTCTGGGAGCAGCAGTACTAAGAAAGATCGATGTCCCTTCTCCAGCCATGCTTCAGCCACTGGCGTCTGTCTCAAAGAACGCAGACAGTGGAGCTAATATGCAGAGGACCACGGTCTTAATAAAGCTTAAGGATCTTAACAGGGACAGAGGAGGGCACATAGTGGAATGGAAAGTCCTGGAGAGGTTCAAGGTGTTCCCAAGAGAGAACATGCCCAGGCCTGGAAACATCCTTCCACAAGCTCTTTGGAAGTGGTTTGGAATCCAAGAAATGGGATCCCTGCTTCTAGGGAAGGTGTGAAGGCGTGGTCTCCAGCAGTGTGTTACATTGGCGGTTCCCAAACTTTAATGTGTCCAGGGATCACTGGGAGTCTTGTGACTGCAGATACAGAGACAGCAGGTTCAGAAAAGACCTTAGAGCTAGCATTTCCAGCAAGCTCCTGGGGGTGCCATGCTGCTGATTTGTAGACCAAACCTTGAGTCACAAGGGTCCAGGGCAGCAGCATCTTGTGGGATCTTGTTAAAAATGCAGAATCTCCAGCCCCACCCCAGACCCAGTAGATCAGAGTCTGCATTTAACATAATCCCCAGGGAATCTTCTCCATGACTGTGGTAGAAGGTGGGTCACATCCACGTATTACATTGGTGCAAAAGTAATTGTGGTTGTTGCCATTTTTTTTTTTTTTAAGCATAGCAAAATCCCCAATTGCCTATGCACCAACCCAGCACAATCTAAATCTAAACCCACCTCACAAAGCCATTAAAATCATCTCAAGCACCACTTGTGTCATGGGGGGAGAAAAAAATATAGAAAACAAAATGAAAACTCAAAGGCACCGAAACCTGAAGCCATTCAGTGTAGAGGACTATAGCCCGGCCAGCGTTAGTAGCTCACAAGTGTCAGTATATTCCTGGCCAGCGTAATTACGGACATCCTTGAGTTGTTTAAGAAAAAGTTAAAGAAATTGCAGCAACTCTTTGACCACTAGAAGGTGGGTAAAACCATTTAGTTTACTTTTTTTTCCAATAAATAGAGAAATAAAGCCCAGAAGGCTCTGACAGATCCAAGGATGCAGAGGTCCTTTGGGGATGAGGGTCAGGCCTGTTGTTTTCACTGTGAAGGTCTTTCCCCTTCTCTGCAAAGCCTTCATTAAGAATAGAAGAGCTTTTGGGAGGCCCAGGCGGGTGGATCACATGAGGCAAGGAGTTCGAGACAAGCCTGGCCAACATGGCAAAACCCCTTCTCTACTAAAAACAAAAAATTAGCCGGGTGTAGTGGTGCGTGCCTGTAATCCCAGCTACTTGGAAGGCTGAGGCAAGA